CTGAATGGTCTCCTTGTTGTTCAGTGAGTTTTGTGCCGTAGCCCAAAGTAAGTTGGTTGCACCATCAAGAACAAGCAACACCATGTACTTGTTCTTCCTCAACTGAATTTCAGCATGATCAACAAAGATAACATCTCCAAAGTTGGTGGATCGTATGCCTGAAATTCTGGCTCGCGGCGGTGGTGCAATGAAAGTACTACACACACGACACTTGTTGTACATCTCCTCATACTTCTGATAAACAGAGTCAGGAAGTCCTAACATGGAAGTCCTTCGTCTGAATTGAGTAGGAGACATGTGATAGTGTTTAATGTGAAGCTTGTAAAGTTCCACACTATCCTCCAGTTTCCTGAGCATCTTTCTGTATGCTGGTGTCATGGCTTGCACTTCACTACCAGGCAGTGGAATCGAAACTCGCCTAGGCTCAAGAGCATCACTACCTAGTTTCTCAACTTGACTTTCTGAATCTTGCTTACCACGATTTCGCGCAGGTGCAGAATGTTTCGGTTCAATGACTTGAGGTTCATCTGAATCAATCTTGTCCAAACCTAATTCCCTAGCTACCTTGTCAAGCTCATCTTCTTCATCAAGCTTGGGATAGGAGACAACAACCTTCTTTCTTGATGAACCTGATTTAGAGTCATCGACAACTTGAGGTTTCTGCTTACCTACGTGTCTTTTGGCTGCAGGTGGACCTACCTCAATCTTTTTCGAGCCTGGTCCATTTGAAATCGGTTTGCCTTCCTCCTTCTTTAAGGAGCTTGGCTTCTTCTTCTGTACACCTGATGGCACTGAAGAGGCTGACTCAGGGTGAAAAAGATCATCAATGTTTCCACGAAAGGGCTTTGCACGATCAATGTCACTTCTGACAATGTCATCTGGGATCACGTAGTCCTCCTTGATCTTGTAGATGGTCTTGCCCTTCCAGAACTCTTCACTCTGTTCAGAAAACCTCTTCTTCTCAGTGCGCCAGTTGTCCTTGTGAAGAACCTTCTTCTTGCTCTTCTGGAATTCAATGTGGGTTTCTCTCTCATCAAGAAGTTGATCTTTTGGAATTGGAGTTTTCTCTGATCGAGTCATCTCATGTAAGTTCATTCTCTTGTCCTTGTGGTGCCTGATGAGTTCACGACGTAGTGGATCAACCTGCCAGTAGTCACCAGTCACCAAAGCTTCTCCTTCATGATCATCTTGTTTGACAGCAATCTGGCTGTACTCAAAGTGATCGTGTTGTGAATAGAAACTTTTGACTTGTGGAGTCTTGAAATGAACTTGGCTCATGTACCATGCTACATCTTGTAGGTCGAGAATGAGATGAGTACTGATGGCTGTCCTCAAAACCATTTTTCTCATGCCAATACGTGCACAGGACAAATAAGCCTTCTCTGGAGTAAGTTCAAATTGAAATCCAAGGTTTCTCATCTGTGGAAGTGACATCAACAATGGGACATCACCTTCTTCGACAATGTCGAATTCTGTAAACTGAGTGTTCCATCCATGATCATACATGAATATCACGAGCTTCTCAGTACATTTTGATTGTTGTGAGTTTGCAAAGAAAAATCTTGAACTTGTTGGCTGAATTTCATACCAGAGTCCACTGTTGGGATGTGAGTCAACATATCTGCAAAATGCTTCAACTGCTCGTCGAGAGCCCATAGCTCTTGTGCATCCAAGATCCAGAATACACACAGTTGGTGGTGCAGAATTCTCTGTGTGAAAAGCTAGTCCATTCTCACATGCCAGATCAGTTTGTACAGTATGAAATGAAAAAGCACTCTGCTGTGATGGTTCCTCTATCTCTGTAGAGCATCCATATGAAAACAATGATGTGCCTTCTGCCAATGGCTTCCATGAAGCCTCACCTTCTTGAAGACCAACTTGCCTGGGCACTACAGCTGGACGTTGTTGTACACCTTGTCGTAGTGCACCAACTTCTCCAACCAGAACAGGGAATCTCTTCATTTCTCTCCTGTTTTGATGTGCTCTTGCATCACGTTGGTTCTGTCCTCCACGACGAGTGCGTCGTTGTTCATCTTGTGCTGAATACGTGGATGTCAAAACATCAACACGAGCTGGCTCTGTCTCTGCAACATCAACACGTGCTGGTTCAGTTGTTCCAAATGAAAAGAAACCATGACCAGAACTTGAAGCTGCAGAAGAATAATGAGCTTGTTGAGTTTGTTGATTCTGTATGGCAGGAGCTGATGTGGTCTGAGGTTGAACATAGTTCGACTTGCCTTTTCCATCTCCTGGCTTTCCTCCTTTTCCATCATCATCCTTGCCTTTCTTGCCTTTCTTTCCTTTTCCTTTTCCTTTTCCTTTCCTTTCCTCTGGAAATATCCATACTCATCCATGTAGTATGAATCATCATAGGCCCAATAGCCTTCATTCCAGGTTTGATCATCGGCCCAATAGCCGTCATAGTTTTCATTCCATTCATCATCTTGCCATTCATCTTCATAACCTTCTTCACTCACCATGTGAGAGCGGCCTTTCTTTCTTCCTTTTCCTCGGCCTTTTCCTTTTCTTGATCTGAAGAATCTTCGTCCTCCTCTGCCTTTTCCTTTTCCTTTTCTCTTTCCTTTACCTTTGCCTCGTCTGATGTATTTGCCTTGGAACCTTCTCTGATACCATGTGAAGTTGGCGTCATCATAAACCCAGAAAACATCTTCTAAGGCATCCAGGAATCCTTCTGCGCCGTCTTCTTCATCTTCGGCCCAATAGCCGTCGGTTCCTTCTAATTCACCTTCATCCAGTACGAGGAAAGATCTTCTCTGTGCCATGCCAGAGGGTTGCATCAATGGATTGTCAACTGCTGTTTTGGTAGTGCAAAACATTTCCAAGAACAGGTCACGTAGTTCTTGAATGCTGTATCGATCGAGGGTTCGTCCACGATGTGTCATGATACTTGTGAGTGTGTTTCTTTGATCTTGACTCAGGTCAGCTAGACTTACAAAAATCAATGCTAGCAAATTTTCACCCAGTGGGAATGCTTGTCGCTGTGCTTCTCTACGATTTTCCTGAAATTGTCTGAATGCCGCTAGTGCCAGTTCATCTGTCCAAGGAACAGCTACATGGGGTGTTCCTGAGGCTGCTGCTACTTCAGCTCTCTCTTGTTGATCTCGTTCATGTTCTTGACGTCGTTGTTGAACAAACAGAATTGCTTCAGGACTAGTCACTGTTACTTCTGGAAGTAAATCCATCCAAGACTCAATAAGTCTATTGCCAGTGAGTTGAAATCTAGTCATCCACTTCTGAAGATCCATGGTTCCTCTGTTGAACTTCATGAACTGCATGAAACGGTATAAGAACACGTTCTGGGCACCTTTGATGAAATGAGGTCGTAGAAATCTTTTAAAATAAGCCACTCCTTCATAGGGATCCCTGAGTAATTCTCTATCCAATAGCCTCTTGTATTGTTGAGCATCTCCTTCCAGTCTGTTGCGCAATGCTGGACCACGTTTCTCTGGTTCTAACTCCGTAATGTCACACCAGTCATCAATTGCATCCTCAAAAGCAAAGAAGCTGGTTCGCCCATCATAGGCTGGAGCAACCTTTGTGGTCATCTGTTGCGTCATATGAATCTGTGTGTGCTGGGGTGCTCTTCTCATTGCATAAGAGTCATATTGGTTCCATTCATTTGCATCGACAATGTCGAAGTCATCATCATCATAGCCATGGCTTGCCATTGCTTGGGCTCTACCTGGAGCTCACCCTCAATGAGGGATCACAGCTCCGCTACCCCCTGAAGAGGGGCCCTAGCGTCTACTTCAAGATCAGCTAAGGCGTCTTCCCCAATGACAGCACTTGTTTTACTCAGCCTGTTGCCGGTCCGTGCTTGTCTACAGGGTTACTCTATATACCTCTTGAGCCTTGAAGGGCGCATATAAATGTGCTCAATACTCATGCATGTACCTATGTAGGTATTAGGTCGAAACAAAAACAGGCCCCCCCCCCCCGAAAATGGTCATGGGTTCAATTCCCACGGGTGACGCGGTCACGGGCCCCCACATTAGAGGCACACTTTCCATGAGGGAGATGTCCCTGTAGTCCAGCATAATTGGTATGCTTCAGCCTCTAACAGTTGCTGCAAGGGGTCTTAAAAAGGGGTTTTAAATAAACCCCTTTTCGTGCATCATTTCACGCTGCACAAGACACCGTATCATGCAGTCATGCTCTGGATAAAATCATCTTAGACTGCGAAAAAACGTTTTTGGTGTATCATCTTAGGGGCGCAGCATTTTGACACCACTCCTCTCCCACTACACTACCTTTCGTCCGCCTCCGCCTGCTCTCAAGTCCTCATCGTCAGCATCATCATCATCGTCATCATCATCATCATCATCGTCGTCATCATCATCATCATCACCATCATCATCATCACCATGGCCATACTCACTGTCATCTTCATTCTCATCCTCATCATCCTCAACATCATCATCCTCACCATCAACATCCTCAACATCACCATCCTCAACCTCATCAGCCTCAACATCATCATCCTCAACATTCTCATCGTCATCATCATCATCATCACCATCATCATCGTCCTCCTCCTCATCCTCATCCTCATCCTCATCCTCATCATCACCATCATCATCATCATCATCCTCATCATCACCATCAACAACATTATAATACATTATCCTCCTACTCCCCCCACACTGTGTGGGGTCTCTTGCCGGGATATTTTTTCTTAAGGGGAAATGGTTTGTTTTTTCCACAGCAGCGTTAGCTTGGGGGTCTCAGCCCAGATAAAGGATCAGTGTGGTAACGGTTCAGTGCGGAGGTTCCCCAAGTTGAGATGTGATGGTTTTATGAGGTTCCGGAGGTAGTGGTGCGGAGGTTCCGGTGTGGATTCCCGGCTGGTTCCAGGTGGTTTCCTGGTTGCGGAGGTTCTCGGGTGACACTTTCCCATACTGTGCTGTTGGGGATACCATCTGTGTTTATTTCACATCTGCAAATATCTGCAAATCATTGTTGTAGTTGGTTTTGCCAAGGACAAGAGCACATTCTTGTGGACGCTTTTGCCTCACATCAGTCGTTCTCTTGCAGATGCTCGCCTCGAAGCACCGGAACTCCTTGAGATCATTGAATGGGAGGTTGATGCCCAGCAGGTCTACCATCGAGATCGACATCTGGACCGGACTTTGAGACAGATGCCTTTGTCAGCCCTTCTCGCGTGCATCGTTGCACGAGAGACAAACTTGCAGTCCTTGCTGCAAGAACAAATCACGCAACTTCGACAACGCCTACCATAAGCTGTGAAGCCGTACGGTTTGGGTGCTGTTGTTAGAGACCACCTAGGAAACAGCGGCAGGTAGACACAACCACAACAGGCCACTCCTCGAGGAATTCCCAGGAGGAAGTCGGTAAGTACCATGGTCAAACCACGTCAAACCAGATAAGACTGAAAAAGCAAAGCAGTAATACGCAGTTGTTTGGTCTGCATGTGTGCTAAGTACTGTGGGGGCGGCCTGGATAAACAAAAAAAATGTTGAGACGCCAGCTGGACGAACAGGTTTTGCGAGTGTCTGAACACAAGAGGCAGGTGTCGAGTGTCTTGAAGGAATGCGAGAGGTGGAATTATAATGAACGTCTTTTTCAGACATCACTGAACATGAAGCTGTTGATTTCAGGAAAGGCCCCTCCGACTCAACTAAGTTGGTTCATTAGTAGGTAAACAAGGGGTTATGGTAGATATAGATAGACAGATAGATAAATGGATAGATAGATAGATAGATAGAAAGATAGATAAATAGATACATAGATTGATAGATAGGCAGACAAAAAGACAGATAGACAGATAGACAGATAGATAAATAGACAGACAGATAGACAGACAGACAGACAGACAGATAGATAGATAGAGATACATATGTATAGATAGATGAAGATAGGTAGAGATAGATAGATAGATAGAGATAGAAAGAGACGGATGGATATAGATAGAGATAGATAGAGATAGATCAAGATAAATAGAGATAGATAGCGATAGGTAGAGATAAATAGAGACAGATGGAGATAGATAGAGATAGAAAGAGATAGATAGAGACAGATGGAGATAGATAGAGATAGAAAGAGATAGAAAGAGATAGAAAGAGATAGGAAGAGATAGATAGATAGATAGATAGATAGATAGGTGGGTAGGTAGATAGATCGATAGATAGGTAGATAGGTCGATAGATAGGTAGATAGATAGGTAGAGATAGATAGAGATAGAGGTAGACAGATAGATAGATAGATAGATAGATGGATAGAAGGATAGATACATAGAGATAGATAGAGAGATAGATAGATTAGATAGATAGACAGAGATAGATAGATAGAGATAGATAGATGGATGGAGATAGGTAGAGATAGACAGAGATAGATAGAGATAGATAGATAAAGATAGAGATAGATAGAGATAGAAAGAGATAAATGGAGATAGATAGATAGATAGATAGATAGATAGAAAGATAGATAGACAGACAGACAGCCAGATAGATAGACATATAGATAGATAAAGATAGGTAGGGATAGATAGAAAGATAGAAAGATAGATAGATAGAAAGATCGATAGAGAGATAGAAAGAAAGAAAGGAAGGAAGGAAGAAAGAAAGAAAGAAAGAAAGAAAGATAGATAGGAAGATCGATAGATAGAGATAGAGATAGAGACAGAGACCGAGATAGAGAAAGAGATAGAGATAGAGATAGATAGATAGATAGATAGATAGATTAGACAGATTAAATAGATTAGATAGATTAGATAGATTAGATAGATTAGATTAGATTAGATTAGATTTGATTAGATTAATAGATAGATAGATAGATAGATAGGTAGATAGAGATAGATAGAGATAGAGATAGATAGAGAGATAGATAGAGATAGATAAGATAGATAGAGATGATAGAGATGTAGATAGAGATTAGATAGAGAAGATAGAGATAGATAGAGAAGATAGAGATTAGATAGGGATAGATTAGAGATAGATAGAGATAGATAGAGAAGATAGAGATAGCTTAGAGCAGATCGAAGTAGAGATAGATAGAGGAAGATCGATAGATCGACAGATAGATAGATGATCGAGAGATAGAGCTAGAGATAGGAGTTAGAGATAGTCGAGATTAGACATAGCGATAGTAGAGAGAGATATGCATAGATAGCTAGATCTATAAAACAGATTCGGTAGATAGATAGATAGATCGATATAGATAGATAGATCGATAGATAGATAAATAGAGATATAGATATAGATAGATATAGATAGATATAGATAGATATAGATAGATATAGATAGATATAGATAGATAGATAGATAGATAGATAGATATAGATAGATATAGAAGATAGATAGATTGATATAGATAGATATAGATAGATATAGATAGATATAGATAGATATAGATAGATATAGATAGATATAGATAGATATAGATAGATATAGATAGATATAGATAGATATAGATAGATAGATAGATAGATAGATCGATATAGATAGATAGATCGATAGATAGATAAATAGAGATATAGATATAGATAGATATAGATAGATATAGATAGATATAGATAGATATAGATAGATATAGATAGATATAGATAGATAGATAGATAGATAGATA